CAAAACTTAGATCCTGGATTTACTCCAAGAAGGTCTGGACAAAGGCCTTAGCCTCGCACTCTTAGAGTACTGTCCTCGGCTCTTTCAGCAATATCTCATGGGCATCGGATCCTTTGATCTCAAGATTCTTTAAGGCAGCTTTCCGGTTGAGACCTCCTTCCAGATCCAGTACCCCTCCTTGGGACCTTCCTCTTGTTCTCAACTACCTGACTGATGATCTGTTCGTTCCCCTTGAAAATTTGGATACTACACTTCTGACTTACAAGACTTTGTTATTGGTGGCTATTACTTCTGCAAGAAGAATTTTGCAGATTAAAGCCTTTTCTACCATGTCTTCCTGCCTACAGATCTGTCAGGACAGGGTGTGTCTGAGACCAAAACCTGAGTTTCTTCCTAAAGTGGTCTAATGAAGAAGTTAGGTGGCAACGTTTGGATGTTAAGAACTGTCTGTCTCAATATCTTTTCATATAGAAAGACTGACCAACTCTTCATTCTACCTTCAGGAGCTAGGAGAGGTGAGGCAGCTTCTTTAGCTACGTTGAAACATTGGAACATTCGCTAATAATCAGAAAAGCGTATGTCTCTAAAGGTCATTGTCCTCCAATAAAGATAAGAACACATTCTACCAGAGCATTGTCGACACTGGCATACATATAGGGGTCGCAGGGCTCGCAGCTGCAACCAGACCCCTCACTCCAGGGGCCCAGCCACCCTGTGGACCCCTGCAACCCTGTACCAGCCGCCATGTTCTGCTGCCCCGGCGGCAAACCGATGGGGCTGACGGAGATGGATTTTCAGGGGGCCTGTGATGACAACACTAGCCTGAGCCACCACTGGACCCGAGGGAATGTCACCCTCCTGAACCTAAAAGGTAGGAAACAGGAGGGTGACTAAAATATGTTGTATATGTGTGTGTTGACACCTTGACAAAGTTTTACCAGACAGCAACTCCATGTTCCAATTAGGAGTTCCAGAGAGTTTGGTCAGGTGTGCCGTTCCACTGTGGGTTCCCTGCTTGCCTGCGGTGCCTCCCTGGCCCTAGGGACAGGTGCTGAGTTGGGAGGCATGGGCTGGAGGGATAAATGATTATAGTCCTTTTTTGGGGGAAGGTGGTGATTTGGGAAACATGTATCAGTCCTAGGTGACCCGGTGGTCTGTCACAACTAATATCTGTGGTGGACATCAATGTCCATTACGCTCACCCAAGAATTAGAACTAAATGCTTTTCAGTTGCCATATTTTGACTATTTGAATAAAATGCAACTCATTTGGTTATTAGGAACATGAGAAATGCAACCCAATATGCTTCATTCAGCTGAACCAATATGGTTGAATCAGACCAGGAAAATTACACCTTGGACCTGCGAGACAGGTTTGACATGTATGACATTTACACTCTACGGTTAGCTTTCTATGTCTTCTCTCATATAAGTGGCTCTTTCCAAGTCCATTGTCAGATTCTGGTACAGATCTGGGGATGACATGTCAGTTTAAAGTCCTTAGCTGTGTTGGGAGATTTTTGCCCTGTGTTCTGGGGTCCTGAAAGTGTTGGGGTGTTCCAGGCTGTCTTGAAGACCTTAGTTGTCCCACTCCACCCTGTCACATGAACCCTAGAGAAAAATCCTGTTGATATTGATCTAATTGCTGAATTCAGAGTCTTTTCACTAAATGCTAAATTCATTAGATCCATATGAAAATAGTAAGGATTAATTCCACTCGATTCATTTAGTTATTAGTTAATCCGGTGAACCACAGAGGAATTTTAACAACTGAATTAAGGAAAAGACCACAACAGGGCACTGAGGCAAGGGAGAGGTTAGCTTATATGCACACAGGGTGTGTCTAATTGGCTAACCTCCAATCAGTGTTAACCACAACACATGGGAGTAGTTTCTTCCCTCTCTTGTGGTCTCTGAGGTCATCACTGTGTGCCAGGTCACATGACCAGGTGCAGCACACATATAAGGAAGCTACCAGTCTGTAGACAGGGACCAGATGACACAGCTTACTGTAATGAGGTAAGCAAGGTCGCCGCGGGCAGCGCGGGAGCAGGGGACGACCACCAAGAGGACAAGAAACCGAAGGCTTCAAGGAAAAAGCATGGAAGGCCCTAACAAGACGAGGGGCGTTCAAATCAGAGGCGGATACCCAGGAACGCTCCTCCGGGCCGTAACCCTTCTAGTGGACCAGGTACTGTAAGGCACCCCTGAAGAAGCAGGAGTCGAGAAGGGACTGCACCTCGTACTCCTCGCTAGAGTCAACACGGACAGGGCCGGGGCGCCTAACAGGCCTCGAATACTGGTTACACAGGAGGGGCTTCAGAAGGGATGTGTGAAACGTATTGGGGATGCGCAGGGACGGAGGCAAGTCCAGAGTGTAAGAGACTGGATTAACCCTGCACAAGACTTTATAAGGCCCAATATAATTCGGTTCCAACTTCATGGAGGGGACACAGAGGCGTATGTTTTTCGTGGACAGCCATACTCTGTCACCCAGCACATAAGCAGGAGCCGCAGTCCTATGGCGATCAGCGAACTTTTTCTGGGATTCCACAGCACGTGTTAGAGCAAGGTGGACCCGATCCCATATTTCCTGAAGTAAGGCTAGGTGTTCATCCAAAGCTGGTATTCCCTTATCGGGGAATACACCAGGAAAGACGCTAGGTTGGACACCGTAAGCCACCTGGAAAGGAATCAAGCCAGTGGAGGCATGGGAGGCCGTGTTCCTGGCAAAATTAGCCCGCGGGAGGAGACGGGACCAATTATCCTGATGTTCATTCACGAAACAGCGTAAATAGAGTTCCAGTGATTGGTTCGCTCTTTCAGCATCCCCGTTTGACTGTAGGTGATAGGATGAGGAAAAGGACAAAGATATACCCATTTCAGTACAGAAAAACCTCCATAATCGTGAGATGAAATGAGGGTCCCTGTCAGAGACAATAACGATGGGTATGTCATGAAGCCGGAACACCTCTTTTGTGAAGACCTCCTCTAATTGCGCAGCAGGAAAAAAGTGAGCCATCTTAGAGAACCCATCGGTCACCATCAGAATGACCATGTGACTCTCGGAGGGGGGAAGGTCCACTATAAAATCTATGCTCAGGTGCATCCAAGGCATCTTGGGCACCGAGAGTGGCATAAGGAGACCAGGTGGCTTGCTTGTGGGAGACTTGGCTTGAGTACAAATTTGACAAGCCATAAGAACTGTCTTGCTATGTTATGAGTTTTTGTGACGCCTGAGTATCGTGCTGTTTTGGACCTTGTCATTACTTTTTTCCTGTCCCTTCCCTATATGCAGAGACCGGTGTTCTATCAGAAATCAATATCTATCATATTTCTATACCTATGTCACTTCCGGTGCATGCGCATTACACCTGTCAGATTTCTATAAAAGATTGCTATAGCTGATGGATCTGCTGCGCGCATATGCAGCACACCCATCAAATTTCTATATATGATGGATGTGCTCTGCGCATATGCGGTACACTCAGATTAGAGCCCCAGCTGATTGAGCATCATTGGAGGCAGCGCGCATGCATGCGGCGCCTCCACCAGAATTCTATTCCTCAAGGCCTGCTAGCGTTCAGCTGATCTCGCGTCACTTCCATTGACGTAGGTGCACCGGAAGTGACGTAGCATAGAAATCTAATACAGATTTCTGATAGAACACCGGCTCTCTTTACACACACACACTGGATACATTTAATTACACATAATAGCTGAGCACCCCCTGCATTTACACACAGTTAGCCTTCTTTCACATACGCTCCTGCAGTTACACACACAGAAGCTGCATACAAATACATGCCTGCCTCCCCCTGAAGAGCCGCCCAAACGCGCGTCGGGGCTCACTCACACTCTCGGACTGCCATATGTGAACATCATTTGACTCACGGTCCATAGATGGCTGACAGGAAGGATCTCCCTTCACCTTACCAGGCTAGCTGAGATTTAGTGTTATGTGTACTCTAAGCATGTATCCAGCATAGATAGCAATAGCATATTAACGATCTTACTATAGAATTATATGCACTTTAGGCATGCACTTACTATAGATCGTTTAAGTGTATTATATTACTCAGGTGCCCTTGAAGGCACAGATTAGTGTTTTTCCCACTTAGACTGATCAGTCCAACCCCTCCCAGAGGGCAACTACCTATATAGAATCTTATGCTGAACAAGCTGACAACTAAAAGACTAAAGTTGCTGTGCTATTAGGAGGATCACGATCTTCAAATCAATTCTTGCTATCAGGGCAGCACTACTGTTAATAACACAGAATTTAGACAGCTAGTTTTGGCTCATTTATGGAGCTTAGGTGCCCTTTAAGGCACAGCTCATGCATCTGCTCTGTGTGAGTTAAACTAATTGCAGAACGATCTGCACTACTATCAAGGCAGTGACCTGTTAGCTGTAAGAGACACACCGTTCATTGTCTCTGCCAGTAACCGGTACTAACAATCAAATCTCCTACTAGCAGGGCATTTATCAGCAAGCTGCAAGAGACTCACAATTTATGCAAGAGCACCATTCCATCATTGTATAATTGAAGGAGACTAACATTTGAACAGTCCCTTCCAGCAGTGACAAGTAGGCTGCATGAGACATACATTGATAGGTGTGTGCTAAATATATCGTGTAGCTGCATGAGACACAGATTTTTCAGTCTCTGCTAGCATTAGCAACACCAGTTACATGGCAACAATGTGGCTTTAGACAGCACAGTATTTTATCCCCGCACTCACAAAGGTACCTTTTTCTAAGGGAGTCTGCATAATTTTAGGTGGAAAAGGGGGGTAGATGGAGTTATTAACACTATATGGTCAGGAATACACAATGGGGTTCCTGGCTCTATAGTGTTCCTTTAAAAATGGTTTGCCATTCAGATTTTAATTTGCTACAATTCAGTTTCATGAATACACCCCTATTGCCTTCTCTTTTCAGCTTAGCATAACCACTTAACTGGGAAACTCCTGGCTGCTTGACCAGAATAAAACAGGATTTGAAGAAAGATTTTATTGAAATAAACAAAAGAAAAACTTCCTGTTTACATTACATCTTTTTGTACATATGTAATCTAGACTACAGATTTAATATTGGTTAAAGGATTAAACAGGAGAGAAGTTTTTTTATTTTACAGTCCAATTAAATGCATAAATCGATCAGAGACGACCCGCTCTGAGTTCACTTGTTTTTAATAAAAGTCAACGAAAAATCTCCTCTTCCTGAGACTCGAACAGCTCTTTTTCACAGAGTTATAAACAAAAATCATCCACTCTAGGTAACATGGCTCTTCTCTACAGAGAGAACCATTATCTAGAGGCCAAAGTTCACACAAAAAAATACAAGCAAATACTTTTTTTTTTTTTTTAATTAACCACTTTATACCATACGAAGTCTGAGGAACAAGTGCACTTCAGAAGGTTTGGTAGAGACTAGGTTTGTGACCCAACAGTGTGTTCAATGCGGACTTTCATATATAATAATAAACGTTTGTGAAGTTGTTGAAAGGAGATGGGGGAAAAAAACTAAAAAAAAAAAACTAGTGGTATCATTGTGACCCCTGCAGAAGTGGATCAACTTTGTTCTCAACTTCTTCCATTTCAATATCTTTTGGTGATTTCTTTGACTTCTTTTTCTTGGTGATAGCAATGCTGCTTGACTGAATCTCCATTGCATTGGATGATACCTTAGGTCGAGACACTGGCACCACTGAAGGGAAACAAAGGATATTGTGAATGCAGATATTGACAATAGAAAAACACAGCAGTTATCTACTTTAATTGACTATAGCAGGACTTGATGCACTTTCCCTAAAATGTAGGACACAGGGTAAACGCCCGTACAGATATACAGACACAAACGCGACAGTATCTAGAAAAGAAACCCCTGCAGTCCCCCTGCACCAGCATCGGCCACCCAGGGTCATGTGACCATGATCACATTGCCGCAATAGGACTTTAGGTGCTGCCAGCAGGGGGACTGTCTGAGCCTGTCAGGCAGGCTCCCAGACTGCTAAAAAGTTTAAAAAAAATATATAAAAAAAAGTTACACATATATTATATATTACAAAATAAGTAAAAGCATTTTATAATATATTATACACATATATATATATATATATATATATATATATATATATATATATATATATATATATATAAAACAAAAATAGTAATGCACTCCACCTTCCTTGATGTACTTGCCCGGTGCTTATCAGCAAACAGATACAGCCAAAAGTACAAGATAGCACTCCAGGGACTTCCAAGTTGAATGAATAAAACTTAGCTTTTATTAGCTCAAAATAAAAATCAACGTTTCAGTCTGTATCACAGACTTTCATCAGGATGAAAGTCTGTGATACAGACTGAAACGTTGATTTTTATTTTGAGCTAATAAAAGCTAAGTTTTATTCATTCAACTTGGAAGTCCCTGGAGTGCTATCTTGTACTTTTGGATATATATATATATATATGATTTCATTATATTATACATATACAGGAAATAAAAGGGTGTGTATATATATATATATATATATATATATATATATATATAAAAATATAAATTTAAAAATTATTTTTTTATATATAAAAACACTAACTTTGGACAGCGTTTGTGACTAAGTTGCTACGACAAAAGACTGGACATACCCCATTTTAAATAGCCTGCGTTGTCTACATTTCAAAATGGCATGCCATGATGGGTTATTTCACATTCCTGGGCTACCATATGGTCTCAAAATGCAACACAGACCTAGCAAGCCCTATATTTACCCTGTAACTTTCAAAACCACCATAAAACCTGTACATGGGCGGTATTGTTATACTCGGGAGACTTCACTGAACACAAATATGAGTGTTATAAATCAGTAAAACTTATCACGATGATGAAATCACCAGTAAAAGTGCAGTTTTTGTGTAAAAAAAAAAAAAATGCAAAAAAACTAATAAAAACGCTAACTTTGGCCAGCATTTGTGGCTACGTGGCTACTGGAAAAAGACAGGACATAACCCATTTTAAATCCTGTGGGTTGTCTACTTTTACAAATGATATGCCATGATGGGGTTAATTTTCATTCCTGGGCTGCTATACAGTCTCAAAGGCAACATAGGCCCAGCAAACCAATCTGGCAAATTTCAATGCGCAAACAGGGAAAAGCCCTACATTTGACCCCTGTAAGTTTGCAAAAACCTATAAAACCTGTACATTGGGGGCACTGTTGTACTCAGAAGATATTGCTTCCGATATTGGGGTGATCTTTGTCAGTAACATAACAGGAACTAAGAATCCATGCCTAAAGTACAATGTGAGAGAAAAATAACAACAAAATGACTACCCAAAGGTAGTGCATGGAATTAGTGTGTGGAAAGTGTTAAAATACCACCATTTGAAATACCCTAGGGTGTCTACTTTTCAAAAATATATGGTTTGATGGGGGTAAATTACATTGGCCGGCTTCAAAAATGTCCCAAATGGGACATGGGTGCATGATGACCAGCTGTGAAAATTCCAAGTTGGAAAACTGGAATGCGCACCCTCCAAATAAGGTCTTTTAGCCCCCAGAGAACCCCACACACCTATACATGGGGGATATCACTGTACTCCGAAGATGTTGCTGAATACATATTGGGGTGTTCTTTGGCAGTAACCCTTAAAGTTCTCAGTACATGTATTCTTAAATTGCCATGTGTGTCAAAAAAATAAAAATAAAAGAATAAAAATCACAAATTATTATTTTTATATTCAAATTTGGCATAGATTGGTAGTAAAATGGTTGCATGAAAAGAGTCAAAATACCCTAAGTTTAATACCTTTGGTTGTCTGCTTTTAAAAAATATATACATGTGAAGGGTTTTTCAGTGATTCATGACAGATATTAGTGTTACAATGTAACTTTTGTTAATTTTTAAATAAATTAATAAATAAATGGTTTGGAAATAGCAAAGTGCTACTTGTACTTATTGCTTATTACTTTCCAAAAAGAACATGTTAACATTGGGTATTTCTAAACTCAGGACAAAATTTTTAAACTATTTAGCACGGGTGTTTTTTGTTTTTATAGTAAATGATAAGTTATGATGAAAAATGGTATCGTTATAAAGAACATTTAATTGCGAGAAAACTGTATATAATATGTGTGGGTACAGTAAATGAGTAAGAGGAAAATTACAGCTAAACACAAACGCCGCAGAAATGTTAAAACCGTCCTTGTCCCAAACAGTAAGAAAATTGAAACACGGTCTGGTCACTAGGGGGTGAAATTGAGTAATAGTAAAAACCCCTGGATGTTGGGCTAAGGTAACATCCCAGGACGTACTTGAAAACCAGAGTAATCTAAATGCACCTTTGCTGGTTAAATACTTTGTTATTATTATGATCATCATTATCTGTGGCCATAGCCTGTGTGTGCACATAATTTTGTTATGTGCATTCCAGGCAAAATAGGTATGAGTGCAGATACCTTACGGGGAACAGTGAGACCAAGAAAAAACAGTGAAAAAACAAACAAAGTATCTTACCATCCATCTTCTCTTTTTCTTTCTGGTGATGCTGTAACTGTTTGATAAGTTTTCTCTTCTTCTTGCCAGAAAGAGTGATGTTGGCTCTTGCACTGGAGCTGGTTTTTAAACAGAAAAAACAAAACCGATTATATAAATAACTTTAAAAAATAAAAAACACAAAAAACCCCGACTGTATTAAGGAAAAGAGCAGGAGAATTAAGAACTAACAAGAAATGAGATCACAAGATCTAAGGAAAGCTTTAGGATTATTAACCCTGAACCAACCATGGCCTACATGACTAAATAAGTAATTCCATGAAAAGAAAGGGTTAACTACAAATTATAATTTCTTTTTTTTTTAAACTTTAATTACTTGGGAATACCCTACTGGGCACATTCTCACCCAACCCCCACCAAAAAAAACCCTAAAAAAACCCCAAAAAACAACCAAACAAGAACTCTTTAAAGCATCGCTAAAACTTACCTTAAATCCAGTGCCGGCCAAGCTCTCCACGATCATTTCCCTGCCTTCTCCAGTGTCACATGGCAACATCAATACCCAATCCATGGTCCAATCAAATGCATTGTTGGACCAGTAAACACTAAACAGCACATTTGAGTGGTGTGTGCATTCAAGAGCAGCGAGATGAACTGATTGTCAGATCATCTTGCCACTAAAGTCCATCTACTTCCCAAATGCGAAGGAGTAGAAAAGGCACTGTAGTTGTATTGCTTGAGGTGTTCCTTTCAGAGATTAATGACATGGGGTTTTGTCTTTTGTTTCTGTCATTACATTTTCCCTCAGTTCCCTTGCCTCCCTAAAGCTCCTTTCCAGCTCTCTCTCTAATTCCACAATCCAGTTCTTCTACACACCACTTTTACTACTTTTATTTTGAAACCATCTTATCAATCAATACATCGTCCCCTCTGACATGCTGTCATTCATTTTGTTTATCTATACTCCTTCCTCATAGATTATAAGCTCGTTTGAGCCTGGCCTTCTTTATCTCTTGTCTCTGTCAATATTTAACAATCTGTTTGCCCAACTTAGTGCTCATAATATAGAATCCACACACAATGAAAAAGTAACTCTGGCGCAAAGTGGTATTGCTGGTGCGCTGGTGACACCAAAACTTTAATCCAGGGATAAATAGAACCAAAATTTCTGGACATCAGCAATAACACTTTGCGTCAGAGTTACTTTTTGTTGTGTGTAAATCAATTATCTATTGTTAATATATTATATGTTGTTAAATATTATAGAATTGCAAGGTGCTGAAAAAGATATTGGCTTTATGAGAATAATAATTATACACGTAACTGTAAAGTGGTTTAAATAAGGTTACCCTGTAACCACTTTAGGAAAAAGTAATAAATTATGCATACTTCAAAGGTTTGTTTGGTAAAATTGAAATGTAATATTTCAGTCTGCATTTTACCAATTGTATCTCAGGAGTACGCATTATTATGAGTGTGCCAAGTACAAATAAGATGTGGTAGTCCTATGTGTAAAGAATGCAAGGTGATCTAAAATGGCAAGTGGTGTCAACTAAAGACAAAAGCCCCAGTGGGATTAGTGAGAGAAGCAATCATGACAGAACTTCTTGGAATTCTTAAAACTTACGATCTCTTTCGGAGGTGATTAGCAGTTATTAATTCTTTGTCCACTACAGCTCCAATCACTTTGCGGTTTTTGCGTTTCTCACGCTGTAAAACACGGCGGCGCTTAAATAAGTTCTTGTGCAAGTCCTGCGGAGAAAATACAAATAACACTTGTCTCAATCACAAAGTTTCCCAAACAATTGAAACTATTAGTTTAGAAGACATAGCAAAGAAACGTGAAAGGTGATATCTTGTTTTTGCATCAGTCAGATCACATTGAAGACAACAAAAGAGATCAGGCTACTCAAGGAAGTTGCTATGGTGAAGTTTATTGAGAGGTAAAGAGCCTCTTAAACTACATTTTATCAGTTAAACCTTACTAGAGTATGCTACAAGTAATTCAGTTTTGAGCGTTATTTATTTTTATTTTCATTAACCTCTGTAGCATACATCACCCAAGTTGGGGTGAGGGAATGCAGAATTATCACCAACAAAGAAGTGACAAACCTGCTTTAAACCAGCAAATGTATGCATCTAAACATGAATGCCAGTGTGTCTACGTGTGTATTTATATTTAGATGCGTTAATGTAATTTTTGCCTGTACTAATGGATCTATGTATATAAAGGGGTCAGTGCATGAATGCAAGTATCTCACTATACATTGATGTCTATAAAGCAGAATGTATAATTGACAAATGCTTTATTTGGTGTGAGTATATGTGGCTAGATTGCCTTGTGTCAATAAAAGTGGTTGATGTGTGATTGCCAGTGTAGTTAGGATATAGAGAGTGACTGACTGAAAAGGCTAAAACACGTGTGTACATTAAAATAAATAACTTTTTAAAATATGATTTCAGTAATTAATCAATCTCAGTCTGTCTCCCAAACACCCCGTTCACTTACTGTTTTAGGACGATTAATCTTTCCTCCAGGAGCCATGCTGAATTCACATGTACACTGCTATATAACTAAACTTCCGGCTCACTTTGCGTTCCAAGCCTCCTTCTTGCATCTCGCTACGGCAAAGAAATAAAAAAATAATGGAGTTTACTCTTGATTGGTCGGCTGCCCGGAAGTGGACGCTCTTTCCTGAACTTAGTCTCGTTGGTCGGAGTAGGGCTATATAAGGCTGTGCCCCCACGTTACACGGTCTCTGTGTTCGCTGCAAGGTCAGTCGGTGTGGTTCTGTGAGGGGGTGGCTCGTTACATTGATTATCTAACATGGGTTGGATATGTTTATAAGCAGTAGGGATGCTAGTAGTTGTTGTTGTTATTTTGGTGCCTCTATTTCTTGGCACTCAGGGCGTTCTCTGTACCCCTGAGTGTAATGTACGGAGGTAGATCATAGTCCCCGGTGCTATGTCTTCGGTGCCAGCTCTGTCTGTGAGCTGGTTCTATCCTCAATCGCTGGGACAAGCTATCATGTGTGATCTGTAGCGCTCGATGGGCATGTTCCTTATTTAACTTTTTTATTTTTATTTATCTATTTTCAGGTTTGGATCCCCAGAATTCTATCCTCCTGCCATGTGAAAGGACCAACAGGCCTGAATCGGACCACAAGGCTATCTGCAGGTTTTGGAAGATGAATTGTATATGTATGCTTTTTAATTTTTTATTTTTTTTTTCCTCACTTTTGCAATTTCGTGGCTAAAGGAAAACTGAGCACCATAACTCTTACTAATATGGAATTCTGGTGCCCCGGGGTCCCTTGTGCTAGTTTACCTTTATGGGTTAAACTAACACACTGTTTAATCTCCGAGTAATCAGTTAAGTACTGGTTAACTCTGCCCACTAACTTTTAGTTGTAGTCTATTGTTTTTAAAGAGGTGCCATAGAGCACCAATATGTTTCTTTCTGAGGCTTCTTGTCACCTTCAACTTAATTCTGACTAAATTGTTGTGGTGCTTGGGGTGTCCCTTTAAAGCTAGAAATGGTGCATAATCTCAATGGCGGTATCTTTGTAATATACAAACTGCACTCTGCATTACTTTGTCCTAATGTGCATATAAAACTCTCCCTGAGATCAGTCTAGTTATCACTGTACAGATGCTATAGTAGGTAAGATAGGTATTAGTAAATGCTGTTGTGATCAATGTATTAAATGCACTTACTGATTTTAAGAAAATTAAAGTGGGCTTGGTCTTTAACAGCCAAAATTAACTTGGAAAGTGCTACACATAGTGCACACTATAGAAAAGGCACCATGTTAAAGCTGGGTTATGAAAGTCATACATAAGGGGGCAGAAAGCATGACTTGTGCAAATTGCAAAACGTATAGTGCATAGAGGTCAATTTTCACTGCAGACTGGCATGTCAAGTCTGCACTGACACCTTCCTGTTCAAGAACTTCTTACTTTTGTACATTTTTTCTGCTTTTAAGAGTAAAATCATGTCTTTTCAAGCTGGGGGGGGGAGCGCTAACTTAATTTGTGGAACATATATGCCTGCTACACTTTGTGTTGTGACTTAGTTAAATGTAGCAGTACTTGTATTACTCACGCTGGGCATCTAATGACTATATAGATCAAACCTAATGGGATTTGTGGAGAGAAACGCTGACTCTGACTAGAATGTACTGTAGTTGTAATTGTGGTCTTCAATTTAAATAAAACATTTTACTCAAATTTTGTTTTGCGTCTTCTTGGGTTAATGTATATTATGCAATCCTTTGAAATGTTTCACTTTTTAAACTAATCTGTGTTCTAGAAGTAGGGTCCTATTAAACTCTATCAATTTTCGATGGGTGAGCTTGGGATATCATGGAAATGGTTGACTTCATATAAATCTGCTCTGATGGAACCCTCAGCAATAGCATGACAACCATATGGTAATTTTAATCCAGATGACAAATGGGAAGCAGGGTGTACAGAGCACCCCATGCTATCTGTAGTATGGCTGCATGGGATCCAGGGACATTGTTTTTTGTATCCTGGTCCCACATGGAAGGAGGATTCCTATCTACATGCAGCTGGGGTGGAGTTTAGCGCTCTGAGTAATAGCTGCATGCTGAGGGCAATCAGGAAGGAATCACTGACTTATCACTATTAGATACTGGGGGGTTTAGCCCTGATCCTTGGTGTAAGAAGCAGGAGAAGGGAGACTTAAGTGGATGTGACTCTGGGTGTAAGGGGTGTGTGTATATATGGGTTAAGACACTAGGCAAGATCCAAGGGGTGTTGAGCAACAGTGACTGATACATTTAAAGGGTGAGGTGTGCCAACACACATCCACCCCTGGTGCCAGTGGGACAAACCCTGTTTATGTTCATATAATTTTTGTGCTATAGATCATGAAGTCTATGTAATCTAAAATGCAGGTACATACTAGAAACGGGATATCTGCAAAATATAAAAGGAATATGAAGCTGAAAGGGATGCAGTGTTGGTGTACCAGAGCCAGCCCCTTGCTTGTTGCAAGGAAAGTGAGAATCCAACTTCAAAAGAGGGGTTTTCTATACATTTTATGTGGATTCATGTAGTCTTATCCAAATGTATCTTGTATAGAAGTTTTACTTAAACTGCTTCAGACCTCTCAATGTCCCTGCAGGAAGGCTTTCTAGGCTTCCTCAAAATGCAATCACAATTAAAGGAACACTACTGTAAGCCATACAAACATGTATTCCTGTCCCTAGTGTTTAACTAAGGTGACTGGCCCCCTATAATAACATGGGAAAGGTGTTTTTACTCTTTCCTTGCTGTGCTTGGCCCTACCACTGTATGCAATCACAAACCCATATGAACTTTTAAATTATGTAAATGTGCATATGGGTTTGGGATTGCAAGTAATCTTAAATCTTTATGTGGGGTTTATGTGCATTAGTCATTGCTGCTGCCCAGGAGTAGTGACTTTAGGTGTTTAAGGGCTTAAAGGACCACTCTAGGCACCCAGACCTCTTCAGCTTAATGAAGTGGTCTGGGTGCCAGGTCCAGCTAGGGTTAACTTTATTTTTATTTTTTTAATAAACAGTTTCAGCGAAACTGCTGTTTATAAATGGGTTAATCCAGCCCCCAAAGCCTCTAGTGGCTGTCTCATTGACGGCCGCTAGAGGCGCTTGAGTGATTCTCACTGTGAAAATCAGTGAGAACACGCAAGCGTCCATAGGAAAGCATTGTAAATGATTTCCAATGATGCTGGCTGAATGCGTGCAGCTCTTGCCGTGCGTGCGCATTCAGCCAAATGGGAGGAGGATCGGAGAAGAGCTCCCCGCCCAGCGCTGGAGAAAGGTAAGTTTTAACCCCTTTCCTCTCCCCAGAGCCAGGCAGGAGGGGAACCCTGAGGGTGGGGGCACCCTCAGGGTACTATAGTGCCAGGAAAACGAGTGTGTTTTCCTGGCATTATAGTGGTCCTCTTGGTTTTATATCTAAATCTTAACTTATCACATAGGAAAGCACTGCACATATTCGCCTCTCCATGCAAAGCGTGGAGATGCTGAATGTCAGTGCTGCACACTGCAGTACTAGAAAGAGCATGTAGTGGCCCTCAGCCACATGAGGTGTTCCTAGGTAGCATGTAAACACTACCTCTTTCTATGAAAAGGAAGCATTTACAGTGCTCAAATTGCAGGAAGAGGCTATATACACCAAATGCACTCAATTAAGCTGTAGTGGTTCAGCTAACTAGTGTCCCTTTAAATCATAAAGGCAATGGTGTATAGAACACTCCAAACAGAAGCATAGTGCAAGTCAATGCTAAACTCTCAGCCTAGGACAGGATTAGTGTTCTAGGCTACCAGTGTCTTGCATGCAGTGTCTCTGGAGAGACAGTGCATATGCATTTTATTAAAGGGACTCTCCAATGCTAGGAAAATAGTTTTCCTGGCACTGCAGGTCCCCTCTCCCTCCCATCCCAGGTTGCTGAAGGGGTTAAAACCCCTTCAGTGACTTACCTGGGTCAGGGTTCGCTCACGCTCCTCCCTGCCTACATGTTCTGGCGGGGAAGACATAATGTGCATGTGTGGCAATGCCACGCACACGCATTAGACCTCCCCATAGGAAAGCATTAAAAATGCTTTCCTTTGGGGATTTCAGCGACGCTGGAGGTCCTTTCATAGCATATAAACCTGGAAGTGCCAGCCACTAGAGGAAGAGTTAACCCTGCAATGTAAATATCGCAGTTTATGAAAACTGCAATATTTATAGTTGTGGGAGTTGGCACCCAGACCACTCCAATGGGCAGAAGTGGTCTGGGTGCCTGGAGTGTCCCTTTAAGCTATAAAGTGGACTTTGCGTAAATTTGTAACAGCTGTGGTATGATTAGTTTACAGAGCAATGTCATAAACCCGGTTATACCTGGACAACTTTCTTGTCTTTTACAACCACATGTTAAAGCAAATGTGAAGTTACATAGACCTGAGTATTGGTGCACCAATATGGTTAACAAGGGTATAAGTTCTAGGTGCGGTCTTCGTTTCCTGATTTTTATTTGTGGTAAAGTGGTCAGGACAGCGGTTTCCCCTAGAGGAGTAAATATTTCTGTTTTTAGTACACCTTTATAACCCAGTAATGTGTAAAGAGAGCAAAACGCCTTCTCACTTTGTATTTTGATATTTTCTGTCTACACATTTGGATATTACACTGTGAAAGCTAGCTTGTAAACCTACCTGTTGCTGTGCCAGTGGAGGACAATTTTAGGCAGATTAAAGGGACACTACAGGCATCCACACCACTAAATTGAAGTGGTCTGGGTGCAATGGCCCTGTCCCCCTTAGTCCTGCAATGCAAATCATTGCAGTTTTTAAGAAAGCCACTAGAGGCACTTTCTGCTTGTGAGGCAACTTTTGGTTGCCTGTCGCTGGGCATCCTCAAACTTTGCATGAGGATATCCAACGTCTGCTTATTCCCTGTAGGAAAGCATTGTTGCGATGCTTTTCTGAAGGGGAGGGCCTAATGTGTTGGTCATGAATGTGCATAAGCACTCCCCACCAGCTGATGGTGGAAGCGGAGCACTATCCCAGCACCAAAGGAGTAGAGTGCTGCAATCAGGGGAGTACAGTAAGGATTTATTAACCCTTACGGTGCTGGGGACAGCACCAGCGTGGAGGTGGCCAGAGGAAAGTATAGTGCCTGGAAGACTGATTTGTATCCCTTTAAGTGCCAGATGTCTTGGATTTGTAGCAAATGGTAGCCAAAACATTCACATAGATATGGGAAAGGTGTCCACCTCCACAGAAATAAATGTCATTCTTGAAAACCAATAAATCATTCATTGAAATCTGGCTATTAGACAACCTGTCAGTCATCCCTTTACCATCTGCTGTCCTATAGAGCCATGATATTATGGCAACCTTGTTTATAATTCCTCAAATAGTTTATAAAGTTGCAGAGTATTTTATTGCTTGTGTGCCTAGCATAGTTTAAAATGGACATCACACTTAAAGGGACACTCCACTGCCCAAATACAATCACTGTTTAGTACATATACCCCAATGAAAATGTGCAAAAGCTTCTGATCTCTCATGGGCAGCCATTATAAGCTTCTAACCTCACTCAGCCTTTCTTCCCAAGGAAGCTCAATGAGAAATCTTTGCAAGGCCAGTGCTCTGAGCAATTGCTGCCTCTTGAGTTTAGATCTACTGAACTAACCAAACCAGGAAGTAAAAGGGCCTGTATGCTGTTTGACAACCAGCAGTGTGTGACTAGGTTAATTTATATAAGTGCCAGTTCCTTTTGAAATCTGCACTTTTTATTAAGTTGAAAAAAATCTGGACACATTCTTCACACACAAACCGCTTCAGGATTCTAGAAGGTCCCTTTAAAGTTCACAACTGTTAAATGGTTTTCTTTGCAAATTCTTTACAAACTTAATGACTGTGCATTCACTCACAGGGTAAGTAGCACTTCCACAATTCTGGTTTCATCGCAAAGTCCCATTTCGATGGCTTTGATTCGTCGTTTGCTGTGTTCATCTCTTCCCCGCAACCACTCAGCACGTACATTTGGGGCAGATGCAGGCAATCCAGGGACAGGAGGTGGGTACCAATACTCAGACTGCAAGTAGATTGGTGTAAATATTGCATTTGTTCATATTGACAGTAGCCTCTTCAGCTGGATGCCACTCCAATTGGTCGTTAATTGGCTGAGAGCATTACCTTGGTACTCTTAGTCAATTAACTGTCCTGTTGGAACTAGGGATACACCGAAATGAAAATTCTAGGCCGAAGACGAAAATTCAGGATGTCTTTGGCCGAAAGTGAAATTTTTCCCCAAATAATTTAAAAACAAAGTTTATTTTTTTCTTATAATTTTATTAATATTAGACTTTTTAATGAATTTAATTAATCTAATATGAAAAACTTCCCTTCTCTTTTATCAGTTTCCCCTCCCTTAATGTTCCTCTCTCCCCCCTCCCTCTTTTTTGTGTTCTTTCCACCCTCCTCCCCAGTCCCATAGTGTCGTCGTCCCCCTCCCCTGTCCTATAGTGTTCTTTCCCCCGTCTCAGTGTTCTTGTCTCCCCTCCCCTGTCCCATAGTGTTCTTCCCCCCCTCCCCTGTCCCATAGTGTTCTTCCCCCCCTCCCCGTCCCATGGTGTTCTTTTCCCCTCTCCTGTCCCATAGTGTTCTTTTCTCCCCCCGTCCTTGTCCTATAGTGTTCTTTTCTCCCCTGTTCCATAGTGTTCTTCTCTCCCCCCTCCCGTGTCCCATAGTGTTCTTTTCTCCCCCCTCCCCTGTCCCATAGTGTTCTTTTCGTCTGCAAGCATGTCTGTTAAACTATGCACTACAAAAAAATATATATATTTTCTGCAAATTTGACCAGTTTTCGGCAGAAACGGAATAAGCCCTTACACACACAGCACACACAAACGCAAACAGCTTCCTCACACACAGCACCCTTATTCACACACACTAACAGCACCCTTAAACACACAGCGCCCTCACACACAGCACTGCAGTGTGTGTATATACCATATATATATATATATATATATATATATATATAAATAAAAAAATATAGAAACTGGCTTGGACTCACGGTTTCTTTGAAGTCAAAACTATTTCTTTATTGCGAATTCATAAAAACTCTGATCACGTGAGTGCATGCCAGTTTCTATATATTTTATATTTTTTGGCACTTGGCTTTAAGTATGCACCCGGTAATATTAATTTTGGAGTGTGAGTGCAAGGACTACTAAGTTTTTTTTTCTATATATATATATATATACACACACACACACACACAGCGTGTGTGTTTGTACTTTAGGGTGCACACCCTTATGCAAAAGACTGCGCACGCCTATGCACATATGAAGACATATGACTCTAATGTAAACATTCTTGCAGTGTGTTGACATAAGCATGCGTATTGTTCATTTATATATGCGTTCCAGCAGAGATATTCACTAAACTGTAAATTGTCAGGAATCCATCAATGAATTGCAATTATGGGGCAAGAATAGCTAGGCTGGAAACATAACTAATTTTTTATTTTACCTTATTAATAGAGCACCAATACATTTCACAGTGTACATTCAGGGGCATTTTAGCTGCGAGGCAAACAAGGCATTTGCCTTAGGCGGAATTTTCCAGGGGGCGGCAAAAAAAGCCGCCCCCCAAATGCCCAGGGCAAATGCCTTGTTAGCCTTGCGGCTAACTAACATGCTGGGCTGGGCGGGCGGCGTTGACAGGCAGGCGGCTGGCGATGGAGCTCTTCCTCTGTGCTGTCTGCTCAGCTCCCTCGCGCGCCGCAGAGTGAGGCTGGGAACCGGAATATGATGTCATATTCCGGCTCCCAGCCTCACTCTGAGGCACGCGAGGGAGCTGAGCAGACCGCTCAGGGAAAGTGCTCCCTTGCCATCCGCCTGCCCGTCAGTGCCGCCCGCCCAGCAGCCACTGGACCCCAGGGAGATAGAGAACCCCTTCCCTCCCACCCAGCACTCCCAAAGGTAAGGAGGGGGGGGGGGGGTTTAAAAAATAAATAAATTAAAAAATGTGTTAATGTGAGTGAGTGTGTGTGTCTGTTAGTGAGTGTGTGCTTGCCAGTGAGTGTTTTTGTGTGTGTCTAACTGTGTGTGTATGTTTGCCTGTGTGTGTCTGCTAGTGTGTGTCTGTTAGTGAGTGAGTGTGTGTCAGTGAGTGTGTTTCTGTTAGCTAGTTTATGCGTATCTGTCAGTGAATGTGTGTGTGTGTATTTAGAAGGTGGGGCGGGGGGAAGGGATGGATGGGGGGCGCGCGCGGTTGGGGGGCGCCTGAGTTTTGTCCTGCCTAGGGCAGCACAAAACCAGGATACACCACTGTGTACAATGTGTACGCTGTGAAATGTGTTGATGCGTTCTAATAAGTTATTGCAGAGGAATCTGTTATGTACATGTGTACAATTGGTACAAGTAAAAAGACAAAAGGTACAATACATAAGTGAACACAAATAAAGGTGGAGTTTAGGGCCATATTCCCATAGGAATTTACAATCTATACCAGTGGCTCCTAGCCCAGTCCTCAAGTACCACCTACCAGTCCAGGATTTAGGGATTACCCAGTTGTGTCTCAGGTGTTTTTAGAAAGAAATAAACCACTTTAGACAAAACAGGGTAATCCCTAAATCCTGGGGATACTTAAGGACTGGGTTGTGAACCCCTGATCTAGACTATGAGATTTTTTCCAGTTCAACAATTTTGGCCTAAAACTATGTTTCACTGAAATTGTTTGTAAATTTCCTGCTAGATAATATTTGCTTTCCATTGACACTGTTTAATGACCTTGGTATGTTACAAAATCTTATCCCTTTACCTATGTCTCCTTACATTTTTAATAGAGAGACTTCGGAACAGCATGGGTGAGCGGGCGACCTGGGATACATTTTACTCACGGTCTTTCCCCAACGACTCATTACATTTTGATTGGTTCTTTGGCTATGATTTCCTACGTGGCTTCCTGCTATCTTTAATTGGTGATATAGCCCCAAAGGTTTTTGTTGGAACACCCTTACATGTGGTGGACGTTGGCTGTGGCACTTCGGACTTGGGTTTATGTTTGTACCGTGATTCTCCTATTCCAATAATGGTATCCTGCATAGATCGCTCAGAACCAGCTGTGCTCGCAATGAGAGAGAGACTCAAGAAAGGACACCCTGTCATTCCCCAACACCCGGATTCTCACCTGGAATATATCCAAGGTGATGCCACGGACCTCAGTACCTTTCCTTCAACCAGTGTGTCACTCGTGCTTGATAAAGGCACTTCAGATGCTCTGCTCCGTTCAAGTAGGTTGGAAGCATGTAATATGGTAAAGGAATCTCTTCGGATTCTGCAGCCAACTGGAAAACTGGTCCAGTTGACAGATGAGGACCCAGATGCTAGGCTTCCATTCTTGGAGAAGGCAGGTGCAGGACCTACAGTGACACCACATGAACTGGGGGAAAAGAATGGGGTGTTGTATTATGCTTATATTGTGACACCACTTCCGTGCTCTGCTTAATAAAACAAACAAAAGACAAAACATGGATTTTGGATTATCTTTGTTTATTAAAAGTACACTTAACTCATTATAACCACTACAGCAATAGGCACAGTGATACTTTATTTCTTTGTTATACTTTTTTATTTTTTTTAATGCAGCCTGCCCCCTCTCTAACCACGAGAGTCTGGAGTTAGTAATAGACTAAGAGAGAGCTTGGCTTAACTGTCCCCAGCACTTTTAGAAATGAATCACCATCTAGGTTCGAAATGTAAACTCAAGTGTAGGCTTCTGGGATAAAAACATTTTTTTTGTTTGCATACATGAATGTTGCCTTGTTCCCAATACGGCAGAATGTGTTGGTGCTTAAAGGAACAGTCCAAGCACCGTAACCACTATACACTGCAGGTGTTAGCTTAGCCTTAGGCGAACTAGCAGACGCTTCTAAGAAGGAGGTTTCAGCTCTCTGGCTGAGGTAGTGGAGCTGGGTAGCATCGCCAGGCCTTAATTTACACTGTTCTATGATAGCTTGACTGCTTACGATAGGGGGCAACACCATAGAGGCTATGTTGCTTGGACTGTTCCTTTAAGCACCAACAAATTCTGAATTATTGTACAGTTTGAGTAAAGAGCTATGTTTCTCTATGCAGGCACAAAACATTAAGCCAGCTTAGCCTCCTCTTGAGTTTATATCCATACTTTGACAGTTTAGTGACCCCTCCCCCCCACAATAAAAAAACAGCAATTGAAGCAGCATTAGACCGCTATTTATATTTCATTGATAGCATCCCAGCAGTTTGTGTTTATAGTGATCCTATATTTGGCTCTATATTATTAAAGTGTACATTCTATGTTTCATGGACCTAAACTCAAGTATATTTGTTATTCATTACATTTTGTTTTATATAAGTCGCACACATGATACAGGTAACAATTACATTTATGTGCAGCACAGCTGAAAAAAAAAAAACCAAAAACACAAGAGGGTAATATTCATGTATTTCGATATGAACGTGATTTGTTTTATTTATTATATTTTATCTACAATTTATCGGCCTCTGTTGTAGTCCCATATCTCAGTATGTGTTAGTTATTCTAGTAATTATCTGTTCTTTTTATTTATTTAAAAAAAAAAAAAAAAAGTAAAATTGGTTTAGAACTTCTGTACCCTGTTGATTAAATAAAGCTATCGTTTCTTCAATTTCGAAGAGAAAAAACGCTTCCGGCAAAGAAGGTCATGTTCTAAGTCGTCTAGTGACGTAATATCCGTCAGGCTTTCTCTAACCCTTCCGGTTGTATGAAGTATGTCCTCCACTACTGAGACACAGCCGTCTCCTGCTCGACCCAAGTTCTTTGGGGATTGTTGGAGCTGCCGTATCCTCTCTGGCAGCGGCCTGATAGCAGCTGGGGGCTACGTGTATCTTGCAGCCAGGAAGACGTTGAGAATGAGTTCCCCTACAAGCATGGGGACTGTGGCACAGATCATGTTCGCACTGTGTAAGGCCTGGGAGTCTGCTAGAGGGCAGAGAGGATTAACAGATCAGGGATCACCAACATGTTCTGACTGCTATGGATAATACTGAATACAACCCAAAGTTTTCCATTGGAGCATTGCACCAGTTTCACTATTTGTCCTGCATTTAAAATTGACTGACCTTTTCTCACTTAAGTGAATAAGGCTGGTAGTGTCACTGTATTAATTCATTATATTGTAGCATTGAATTTAGATACATTGTATGGTAGGGGGAGTCTAATTGGGGAAATAACTTGATGATGACAGGTTAAAGAGACACTCCACTGCCAAAATCACTCTTTAGTAGATATACCCCCTATAAGAAAAATACATGGTTTTTATTGGGAAGTATAGCTAAAACAGTTTTCAAAAGCTGCAGATCTTCTGTTTGCTTCCTTTGAAAGCCCTTCCCTAGTCCAGATTTTCTGTGGCTGTCCAATCTTAAACTTTCAATGAAAGGTCTTTGCAAGGCAGATTCCCAGGGCAATAGCCTGCCTCTTGAGTTTAGCTCCACTGAGATAGACAACTAGGTAGTAACCAGAACATTTGTCTGATTGACAGCCAAGTCAGTGTAACAAGATTAATTTGTAAAAGGGGCAATTTCTATTGAAATCTGCATGTTTTATAAAATGAAAAGAGGATGCACTCATCACACACACAAAGCATTTCAGGGGGCTGGAGTGTCCCTTTAAGGAATACAGTGTATGTGATCAGATTCGTTAACCATATGAAATTCGCTATTCTACATAACATTTACAGTAAGGTACACACAATGTTGTATATATTTTTCAGGTCTTTTTAATTTTTATCCATTTCAATGAATGGGTGAGGTGGTCACTAAAATGCACAGGGGGCTGATGATATGTTTCCTGTCTCTTAGGTTTGGCTTCATGGGGAACCATCATTATTGTTGATCCTGTTGGTAGAGCAATACCAGTTGAAAAAGTCGAGAAGTGAATTTCTTTGCTGAAATCACACACCTTTTTGCTTCATGTACAGAATTCAAGTGGACATTGAGTTGTATAAAGAACAAAAGACTGACATGAAGAGATGTAAGAAAACTAATAAGTGGACTATGATACCTGGAAATAATAAAGATGAAAGACCTAAACGTAACATGTTACCTGTTAATGGAGATCTGGGAACAGAACATCATAGTATAGGTGTGAGCAATTAACGTTTGTCTGTTTTGAGTACATTTTAGTGCCATTTCTAGTGCAGTATCTTTTTTTTTTAACCATTCAGTACTCTGGATATTCAAAGAGTGCTATTGAACTGTAGAGTTTATTCACCAAAACAAAATGTTGTGATCGTTGCAAATCCAGAAGACAATTGCAGCCAATGCTGAACTAAACAGTTTTCTAACTCATCTATTTTCTGCTTAGTCTACTTTGGCCCAAAATGTGCAATTAGTTCTACACAGTTCCCCAATGTGTGAACAAACCTGTGTATTTATTTTGTATTTGCGAGCACACTTGTTTATATAGATACATTTTGGGCTCTAGTATAGCATTTCCACTGGAAAACAGACCGTCAGACCACCTTTTAATCCTTTGTAAAAGATGAATTGGTGTGGAAGGAAATCATATCTCTCAGGGGTTTGTTCAAACGTGAATTGAAGACAAAATTGCAGAACTTGGAAGGCCATGAGAGCCAGTTTTAGAAAAATTCTACAGTTCACAACTGCTAGCCACAGTTTTGTTAGTTTAGAGGGATTCTGTAATGTTAGGAATACAAAGGGTTAAAAAAACCTTTTAGCTACTTACCCGATTCCAGAACAGATGTCCCATTGCAATAGGTTTTTTTCAATTCATATTTTAGTGAGAAAATGTACCAGAGAATATAAATACCAGAAAATGTGCCAAAGAATTTAAATAAACCTAAAACTGGGGTTTATGATAATGGTTGATTAGTCACTTGATAGACATCTGCTTAGATTAAAATATACCCTTACACAAAGTTCACCTGCTAATCTACCGAAGAAGCTGTCCCCAAATAACACATGACTCGTCTCACAAATCTTACCGTACGACCGCAGCCCAACTATTGTGGAAAAGCGTTTGTTCTAAGCATATCTGTAAAGAATGGTGTGGTTGAAAATGTAGGAATAAGTTATCTATACATATGCTTTCCATTTGACTATAAAATGGCACAATGTAACTTTTTTATACAAGACATACAATTTAAAACAGGATTCTGTAATGTTATGGACTACGGGTTAATGTAAAAACTTGTGTTTATCAATGCGAAGCTCATCTTCCTGTCTGCCCGCACTTACCATGCCTTACCCCTCTGTCAGTTCCTGCATTGGCTTCCCATAGGATATATGGCTTAATATAAAATTCTGGTTAGTTCTTTCTTTCAAATCTCTACATAATGCTACTCCCACCTATATATCCCCTCTAATACACAAGTACGTCCAGTCTAGGCCCCTACGCTCTGCCGAAGACCTGCATCTATCCTCTTCGTACTCCCACCTCTGATGCTCGCATTCAAGACTTCTCTAGGGCTACACTGTTCCTGTGGAACTCCCTTCCTTTTTCTGTTAGATGCTCACCCAGTCTCCACTCCTTCAAAAAATCATTAAAAACTCACTTTTTCACAAAAGCTTATCAATTAAACTGGTAATGGCTCCAAAAACCCCCACACTAAGTCTTCATTGAATACTATTCTACCTATTTACTTCCCAAATACTTCCCTTACCCTTTGTATTGCATTACCCCACTCCCTCTAGTATGTAAGCTCATTGAACAGGGCCCTCAACCACTCTGTTTCTGTGCGTCAAACTTGCCTGGTTATGCGTTATGGTATTTGTTGGCACTATATAAATATAATAACTGTCTCCTCCAATTTGATTGACAAGAGAGACAGTCTTGTTACATGACATTAATCCTCTCTCATTCCACTGATTTGAATTTAAAACGAAAGGAATTTGTGTGATGATACTTTTAAGGACATGCTCTACAATTTTTGAGCAAGTTAGGGAGAAGAAATGGCATATAACATTAATCAAAGGGATTCTTTACACTATAGCTCTCTCCCAGTGTTGAAAAGGTTAAAAAAAAAAAAATTCTGTACAATGATCTTCCTCACCTTCCTTCCGTGCACCACGCTGTCTGACATAGTTACATAGTTACATAGCTGAAAAGAGACCTGCGTCCATCGAGTTCAGCCTACCTCACATTTGTTTTTTGCCGTTGATCCAAAAGAAGGCAAAAAAAAACAGTTTGAAGCACAATTTTGCAACAAGCTAGGAAAAAAATTCCTTCTTGACCCCAGAATGGCAGTCAGATTTATCCTTGGATCAAGCAGTTCTTACCCTACATTGAAAGATTATATCCTTGAATATTCTGTTCTTGCAAGTATGCATCTAGTAGCCGTTTGAACATCTGTATGGACTCTGATAAAACCACTTCTTCAGGCAGAGAATTCCACATCCTGATTGATTGTTCTTACAGTAAAAAAATCTTACCTTTGCCTTAGACGAAATCTTCTTTCTTCCAGTCTAAACGCATGGCCTCGTGTCCTATGTAAAGTCCGTTTTGTGAATAGATTTCCACACAATGGTTTGTATTGGCCCCGAATATATTTGTATAATGTTATCATATCCCCTCTCAGGCGACGTTTTTCTAAACTAATTAGGTTTAAATTTGTTAATCTTTCTTCATAGCCGATATGTTCCATTCCTTTTATTAATTTTGTAGCCCGCCTCTGCACTTTTTCTAGTGCCATAATATCCTTCTTTAGAACAGGTGCCCAAAATTGCACAGCATATTCAATATGGGGTCTTACCAGTGATTTATAAAGAGGCAAAATGATATTCTTGTCCCGAGAATGAATGCCCTTTTTCATGCATGACAATACCTTACTGGCCTTGGCCACTGCTGATTGACATTGCACATTGTTGCATAGTTTGTTGTCTATAACAATTCCCAAGTCCTTTTCGTGTGTTGTTATCCCTAATTCGCTTCCATTAAGGGTATACGTTGCATGTGTATTCTTTACGCCGAAGTGCATAACTTTGCATTTTTCAACATTAAATTTCATCTGCCATTTGAGTGCCCAGTCCCCCAGTCTATCTAAATCCCTCTGCAGCAAAGTAATATCTTGCTCACATTGTATTATTTTACAAAGTTTTGTGTCATCTGCAAACACTGAAACATGACTTTCAATGCTGTCTTCAAGATCATTTATAAACATGTTAAATAGAAGGGGTCCCAGAACAGACCCCTGAGGGACACCACTTGCCACCTCTGTCCAGCTTGAAAATTTATCATTAATGACAACTCTTTGTACTCTGTTTTTAAGCCAATGTTCTACCCAAGAACAAGCATTTTCATCTAGACCGATCTCCTTGAGTTTGAACACTAATCTATTGTGTGGAGCTGTATCAAATGCCTTGGCAAAATCCAAATAGATCACATCCACGGCAACACCCTGATCTATACTTCTACTTACTTCTTCGTAGAACGCAATCAAGTTAGTTTGACATGACCTGTGCTTCGTAAAACCGTGCTGATTTTTGCTGATAACCATGTTCTTCTCAAGGAATTCTTGAATATTATCCCTTAATAACCTTTCAAATATTTTCCCAGCCACAGAAGTTAAGCTCACAGGTCTATAATTTCCAGGCAAGGATTTTGAACCCTTTTTGAATATAGGAACCACATCTGCCTTCCTCCAATCCTCCGGAACACTTCCTGAAAGAAAAGAATCTTGAAAGATTAAAAACAGAGGTTCACTTATTTCTACACTTAGTTCCTTAAGTACACGTGGATGGATACCATCAGGCCCTGGAGCTTTGTTTATATTAACTTTCTTTAGTTGCTGCAGCACCTTGTCTTGAGTTAACCAATTACAATTATTCTGCAAGTTTTTAGTAGCAATCATTTGCACATCTATTGCCATGGGTTCTTCCTTAATATATACGGAGGAGAAATAGTTATTTAAAATTTCTGCCTTTTCTGGTCTTCATTAACTAACACCCCCGTTTCAGTTTTTAGTGTACCTACACTTTCATTTTTGACATCCACTAGAGGCAGTCTTAGTCCTGCAATGTAATTATTGCAGTTTCTCAAAAACTGCAATGATTTACATTGCAGGACTAAGTGGGACTGGGACACTTTACCCAGACAACTTTAACCTCTTCCCGACCGATGACATACCAGGTACGTCCACCCAAAAAATTAGAATTACCGACCGCGAAGGTTCCTGGTATGTAATTTAGTAAATCGGCACTTACCTGATCGCCAGCGATCGCGATACTGGAGTCTGCCTGGGAGCTCAGGCAGACCCCCACTGTCCGATCTGGCCCTTCTGGGCCATGTGATCGTGGGGTCCTCGCGATCACATGGCCGGAATAGCCGGCTTGTGCAGTGCCTGCAGGAGGCCTGCCTGAGCTCTCAGGCAGGCCCCCTAGTGCCTAAAAAAAGTTTCAAAAGTTAGTACTTTATCTGGGACCGTATCGGGACCTTCAGTCTTAGTCGGTGAAATAGGTACTCCTAGTTGTGTGAATCATATATATATATATTCTAAGTACTTTTACATGCACATAAACACACATACACCATTATTAAAAGTGTATTTTAATATTAATTATATATATATATATATTAAAATACACTTAGAATGACTTTAATTATATATATATATATATATATATAGATATATATATAAAATATAAATTGAAAAAAAATTATATACCGGTTTAAATTTGTTCTAATTGTATTTTGATATTAATATACATATATATTTAAATCAAAATACATTTAGAATGACATTATAAAATATATTTTCCCTTAACGACCGTGGACGTACTAGATACGTCCAACAAAAAATGTCATTAAGGACCGCACACGTACCTAGTACGTCCGCAGCAAATAGTAGCCCTGGACCGGCGATCCGTGTTGGGGGGGACTGCCAGAAACCCCAGCAGTCCCCCCTGCATCAGCTCCGGCCCTCCAGGGCCATGTGATAACTATGATCATATGGTGGCAATAGGAGTCTATAGAGCTGCCAGCAGGGGGACTGTCTGAGCTGTCAGGCAGTCCCTCAGGTTGCTAAAAAGTAAAAAAAAATAATAATATATATATATATAGGAAAAGAAAATGTGTGTGTGTGTGTGTATATATATATATATTTGTGGTCAAGGCATAAAGCCGTAGAGTTAGTAACATAAAACAAACGGGATGGGAAAAGTCAGTTGTGGTGTGCTGGAACTGACGTTGCAGTAGGCCTGAAATAAAAGAGGGCCTACCTTAATAAATGATTATAAAAGGAGGCGTGGTGGGTGGGACAAATCTGCAGTAGGCCTGAAATAAAAGAGGGCAAAAAAGATGTAACCAGTTTATTCAGCCTACAATACACCATAAGATTATCACACAATCATATTCTTGAATGCTAGGCGTACTTCCTGAACTGGCTGCGGTATGTATCTGGTGTAAGCTGTGGACTTCCACCGGCCCAATATTTTAATGATGTGCGCAGGAATATTCCTCTTTGAAGCGGTAGCAGCCACTCCTATTTGAAATGAGTGACCGGAATATTTGGCCGGATTTAGTCCCAACCTTACTAACAACGTTCTTACGTAGAGCATGAATTTACTGATTGTGAGGATATTACCGTATAATGCTAGCAGTGGTTGATGTGGTGCTATTGAAATGGAAGAAAGGTATTGGTCGAAGACTTTCACAGGACACCATTTATTACTAGTAGGGTAATAGGTAATAGTGACCGTCTGTCCCTTCACACTAGTTTTTGTATGATGTATGGACAGTAAATAGTGATTTTGTGTTTTTACCAGTTGGGGGTGTTGTAATTAGTGGTGGTAAACTCTTTGGTCAGAAGGAACCCATAAAACAACAAATAGATGGCCGTTTTCATGACCTGGTTTGTGTGAGTTTCAAATGGTGAGGTATCTAAAAGGTTTGACAGTGACTGGAATAGGAGATCGTGGATAGGTAATCTGGATGGCGTGGGTGCAGGGGTGGAGTCCTTGAAACCTTTAAGTATGGCCTTTACCTGGTAAGAGGACAGGAAACGTTGTTTATTAGGCCAAGTGGTGAGAATATGGTGTTGAATACTAGTGATATATAATTTAATGGTGTTGAAAGATAGCTTTAGGTGAAGGTGGCAAAAGGAAATTAACGCAATCATTGTTTCCATGGTAATCTGGATGGCGTGGGTGCAGGGGTGGAGTCCTTGATACCTTTAAGTATGGCCTTTACTTGGTAAGAGGACAGGAAACGTTGTTTATTAGGCCAAGTGATGAGAATATGGTGTTGAATACCAGTGATATATAATTTAATGGTGTTGAAAGATAGCTTTAGGTGAAGGTGGCAAAAGTTAATGAACGCAATCATTGTTTCCATGGAAAATTTGTCCATGGTGTTGAAGTCAAGAACAAATCTATCAAAAATATGAAAAGCCCTGCCATAAGCCTTTCTGGTGTTAACCGAAAGACCTAGTTGTGAGAGGTGATGCCCGTGAGTGAGTAGCTTGTTTAATCCAAGACCATCTCCTGCCACCTCGGTACTGGAGTTGGTATTAGGGCAGCTGTGGGTAGCGTCGCCCGGGAACTCCTGAAAACGAGATTGGAATAAATGATCAGCAGCAATATTCAGAACCCCAGGAACTGTGTTTTGCCGCCTTCCACGTGAGATTCCTTATAAATCGCATGATGGCCAGGGAAGAGGAACGTCCCTTGTTTACAACATGGCATGTTGCCATGTTGTCCGAGAAGCAACGCACCGTATTCCCCGACCAGCAAGCTCCCCATTTAACTGCCGCTGCTACAATAGGGTAAAGCTCAAATAAAGCCGATGTGTCCTTGAACTCTGGGATCTCAGCAACTTTCTCTGGCCAGTTGCCCCACATCTATTCATTGCCAAAAATAGCGGCAAATCCGGAAGTGGCCGTGACATCTGTCCAGATAGATACGGACTTGTCCGTCAATACTGGAACGAAAATGCTCTTTCCATTCGAGTGCAGCAAGAATCGGTCTGTAAAAGGGGAAATAAGCTAAGCAGCCGGAATATGAAAGCCCGCCCTTGGGGTATAATTTTCATTGCCAAATTAAGTGAACCCAACTGGGATTGCAGCTCCTTCCTATTACATGACTGCCCTGCTAGGTAAAGGTCAATGGCAGACAGGGTGCGTTCGATCTTCTCCCTGGGGAGGCTAGCCTGCATATGTACAGAGTCCAGCACCACCCCCAAGAAGTTGATGACCGTATCGGGACCTTCAGTCTTAGTCGGTGAAATAGGTACTCCTAGTTGTGTGAACAGTCGTATAGCAGCAAGGAGGCTACTGGGAGGTAACAGGTTACTTTCTATGGAAAGAAAATCATCTAGGTAATGAATAATGGTGGGGCATCTACAGGTGTTAAGCAGTATCCAGCACAACGTCTCGGCAAACATATCAAAAATTCTTGGGCTGCTCTTAGAACCGAATGTGAGACGCATGAAAAAATAGTATGCCCCTTGCCATTTAACACCATGTAAATGCCACAGGGACGGATGAATAGGAAGTAGCTTAAACACATTCACTATTTCCGTTTTGCTAAGCCATGCATCCACCCCCGCTGAGAGGATGGCAGTGATGGCATTATATATGGTTGCGTATTGTATAGAAAATTCTTCTGACGGAATGAGTGAGTTAAGACTTGGGGTAGGTGATGCATGGGGAGCAGAGAGGTCAAGAATCAACCTTTGCTTATTGGAGGATTTACCTGTGACCAGACCTATGGGGTTAGTTCTCCATACCGCAAAAGGTGGAGAGTCGAAAGGGCCAATTACAAACCCTTGGTCAATTTCTTTCTGGAGTAGTTGGTCAATAGTGTCAGGATCTGCCAGGGCTGTCTGTAAGTTTTTACATTCTAAGCCCCCTGTAGGCATATGGATAATACCCGTGTGAAATCCCAAAGTGAAACCTGTCACCAAAAATTCCACTAGATGTTGAGATGGGTGACCCCACAATACATCTTTCAGCAGTGAGACATTAAGAGACAAAAGGTACTGCTTGGGGTATAATTTATTTGGACACATTACTTTAGAGTGAGCCCGGAAACATTGGGAGCAGACATGAAGTAGCCTGCAGGCACTGTAACCGCAAGTGCCCGTATTAAAGTTATTACATACCTGGGACTTTCCCAGAAACACTATATCGTGGCCCAGTTTATCCTTAAGGACCTTGACTGGTCTCCCTGTGGGCGTCATGTTGGAAGGAGGGCAGAAGGTATTTACCTCTGGGGTATTAGGGCACAGATTTGCCGTGTGAGAGTTGAAGGCACAAATGGCACAAGCGGGCGTCTTTAGGCCCGCAAAGTGTCGACAAAAAAGCTCCGTATCCAGCACACTCCAGTCAGCTTGATAATTAAACTGGGATATAGCCGTTGACGCCTTTGCGGAGAAAGAACGGTGGTAGTCGTAAAAAGACGTACCACCGTACTTGTGCCCCAAATCCACCAGCTTGTGGAGGTAGAGATACAGTTCTTCCCTCCTATAGGGATACACTGAGCATAATACGTCCCTGTAGATCCCGAAAGCCAGTACAAATTCAGGGATGGATAGCTTACGATTCAGCCTGGGGTCCCTGGCTTTTAGTACCACCGCTAAGTCCTCATATGCATATGTCTTATTTTCAAGGACATCTTGGGAGGCAATTAGCAGTGATATCAAATTGACATCCTTCCCTACCAAGATGTCCTTCTTAAGGTTAGCAGGCACCATGTGTGCCGGGTTAATAATATGTGGTTCTCTAGGACGATTTGGAATATCATTAGGATTACCCAGAGCCGCGACCGAATGCTGTTGGCTATCTGCGTCCATTTTGTCAAGCTTGTCAGTAATACGACCCAAAGAGGTCAGGACCGAGGGCAATACAGCCTGCAGATCAGAAGACTGACCACTACTAGACCCTTCATCCGCCCCGGTGTTATCAGTTTGAGTATTCATAAGTCTATATAATTCGGCTTTCCTAGCCGTTGCTGGGTAAGGGATGTTCCTTTACCTCAATTCTGCGGTGATCCTAGGAATAGTCCAGGGCCGGAGGGATGAAGGGCTCGCATTGTCGCCACCCCAGGATGGAGTGACGTATCTAGCCGGTGTACTAGGGATAGACCCCGCCTTCTGGTAGTTGTGACATGCTATAAAACAAAATAGAAGGTTACCTGGGGTAATATCCAACTGGCTGACGTAACTAATGCCAAGCGGCAAAACAATTAGGTAGTTATGTGACAGGTGAGGCCCTGCTAGTTGCCAAGCGGCTGTGAGAGGCACTACCTATGAATTGTCCCGAGTGGGGTACGTGGCCATTGACATTATGGCGGGGTGTTGGCCTCTCTGTGACCAGTAACAGCAAAAGACAGAATGGGAGTAACAGGTGAGGCTCTCTCTATGCAACCAAGCAAGGCGGCTAACTATGAATTGGCCCGAGGGAATGTTGTAGCTCCGAAATGAGGTAGGAGATGGCCTTGCGGGACCACTAACGTAAGGCGTAGAAGGCCAGAAAACGTACCTAGAGGCTCCTATGCTCCAATGCCAGTGTATAACTAGACTATGAACCCGACAGGGTAGGGAGGTTGTAATAAAATTGCGAAAAAGGACATACCTGATGAGCAAAGTAAGTAGCCAGATAAGGTGATACAGGCGATCTGTAGTAACCTACGAGAGTAATTGTGAGTTTTTGCAGGGTTATATCGATATGTACCCTTAATTCCCCACTGCTCACAAGATACCTACCGGTAAATTATCCAAATGTAGGAGACTGGAACCAAAGAATCAAAAAGCTGCAAGGATGGCCTAAACCTAGTAATGCAGAAATTCCACATAAGTACCCAGGCCTTGTAAGACCCTAAGTGGACAATTAATCATAAATTACTGACCCATACCAGATGAAAAACAGGTCAGATAAAAAAACAAAAGCATAATCAAAAGTCCAATAGTCACCAAAACGTGTTTCGCCTAATAGGCTTCCTCAGTTGGTGTACTCTGTGCATCAAAGTCCCTGTGATTCTTTATATCCTTCAATTTACTGCAAATTTGCGGTATTTTTCTCTGTGGAACGCATCGGCTTCCAGTTCGGCTTGATATGTTAGCCGTCAGTTTCCTGTTCGGCTGGTCATGTGATCGGGTACGTCGTTTCTATTAATTAGAAAAAATGACTTACCCCAGGTGAATGGTGTTGCTCTCGGTGTGCCTGTGTGCGGACTGCGCATGCTCCTGTGTGGCCACACCTCCACTGTGATGTCATGTGACATCATCACTTGATTGTATTATATGTGTGTATATACATATATATATATATAAATATAATATAAGTTTAAAAATAAAAAACACACACACACAAACACATCCACCCACACATTCTACATATATATTTAACTATTAACTACATCATTATTTGATTTTATTAATTATAATTTGAGGGACCTGCCTGACAAACCAGGCAGACAGTCCAGAGAATTTAATTGGCAGGCCCTTTATTGGGAAACTATGAGTATTGAGTAACTATGAGTAAAATATGAGTGTTTTAAAAAGTAAAACTTATCACGACGATGATATCACCTGTAAAAGTGCAGTTTTTGTATAAAAAATGCAAAAAAACAAATATGAACTCTAATTTTGGCAAGCGTTTGTGTCTAAGTGGCTACTACAAAAGCCTGGACATGCCCCATTTTGAATACCCTGGGTTGTCTACTTTTTCAAATGGTATGTTATGCTGGGGTTAATTTTCATTTCTGGGCTGCCAAACTATCTCAAAGGCAACATAGCCAATCTGGCAAATAGCAATTTACAAAAACAGAAATTGGCAAATCTTATGTTTGACCCTTTAACTTTCTAAATCACCATAAAACCTGTACTTGAGGGGTACTGTTGTACTTGTGAGACATTACGCTAAACAAATTAGAGAAAATCTATAACAAACTTACCGTAATTTTCTTTTCCTGGTTATTTCTCATGGCAGCATCACTTATGGGTAGCTCCTCCCTTAGCAGTCACAGGACAGGAATTAATTAGATTAATTAATTAGACTGCTGGGTATAAAGAGTCCTTCCTCCCCTTACACCTCAGTCTAATTATAAAGCTGAAAAATAAAAGAATGGGTGGGAACCCTGATACTGCCATGAGAAATAGCCAGGAAAAGAAAATTACGGTAAGTTTGTTATAAATTTTCTCTATTCCTGGCTAATCATGGCAGCATTACTTATGGGTAATACCCAAGCCCACAGAATTATAGGGTGGGAATACTAAATCGAGAAAAAGACACTAAACAGACTCTTACGCTGCAAAGAAATTAAATATCAACGGGATAAAGAGACCGTAGATAGGACACTCTTCCCAAAGGAGGTGGAAGGAGTGTCCACATCCAGTTTGTACCTACAAATATCATTGTATGGAACCTCTGCCCAATTAGCCCATGAAGTCGACAATGCTCTAGTAGAATGAGTTCTTATCTTCATTGGAGGAGATTGACCTTTAGAGATATATGCTTTCCTGATCACTAGCGAAATCCAGTGTTTTAATGTAGATAAAGAGGCCGCCTCACCTCTCCTGGCTCCCGAAGGTAAAATGAAGTGTTGGTCAATTTTTCTGTAAGACTCAGAATACATAGATAGGCAGTTTATGACATCCAAACGTTGCCACCTAACCTTCTCTTGTGAAGAAGGATTGGGGTAGAACGATGGAAGGACCACTTCTTAAAAAAGAGATGAAACTGAGAGACCACCTTAGGAAGAAACTCAGGTTTTGGTTTCAGACACACCCTATCATGATAGAATTGTAGACAAGATGATAAGGTAGAAAATGCTTTAATCTCCGAAATTCTTCTTTTAAGTTTTATACGTCAGGAGGGTAGCATCCAAACTATCAAGAGGAATGAACAAATCCTCAGTTAGGTAATTGAGAACCAGTGAAAGGTCCCATGGAGGGGTAGTAGATCTAGAAGGAGGTCTCAACCTGAAAGCTGCCTTGAAGAACCTGGAGATCAAAGGATCCGAAGTCCATGAGATGTTGCACAAAGCTGAAAGAGCCGAAGACTGAACTTTAAGAGTGCTGAGGCTAAGGCCCTTATCCAGACCTTCTTGCAGGAACTCCAAGATCTCAGTATTGTGAGGATGCAGGAAGTCAATATTCTTGGCTGAAGCCCATTCCCGGAACACATCCCAGATCCTATGGTAGCATGAGGAAGTAGAAGCTTTCCTTGAATGCAGAAGGGTATTAACCACAGCTCCTAAGAGCCTAATTGTTGAAGTCTTTCTTTTTCAAGACCCATACCCCCAATTTGAGGCGTTCCGGATGAGGATGGAATATTGGGCCCTGCGGTAGCAGATCCTCCATAAAAGGAAGAGGCCAAGGCTCATCATAGATAGTAGGGGAAACCACGGCCTCCGAGGCCAAATCAGAATTATGGCAATAACCTTCTTTCCTTCCGACCAAACCTTCCGCAGGAACCTGGGTATCATGGGTAAGGGAGGGAATGCATACCCCAGATCGAATGACCAAGGAAGAGAGAGAGCATCCTGGCCCAGTGCCTGACTGTCTGGGTGGAGGTAGAAGTAAGACTGCCGGGTGAAGTTTCCATTCTCCCGGAAGAATTTCCTTTCTGCTGAGGAAGTCTGCAGTCTCTTTCTCCGAACCCGGAAGATAGATCGCCTTCAGACCCTGGAGATTGGTCATGGCGATTGTCATCAAGGGAGCTAGTTCCTTCATGAGCAATCTGCTTCTTGTGCCTCCTTGGTTGTTCACATATGAAGCAACCGCTCGGTTGTCCGTTTTGATTAATAACCAAGAATTTAAGATCCTTGGTTGGACTACCAAGATAGCCTTGGAAACAGCTCTCAGTTCTCTTAGATTTGAGTGTAACTGACTCTTCTCGGGTCCACTTCCCTTGAGTCCATGTGGAATTGAAGTGGGCACCCCATCCAAAAGAACTGGCATCTGTTGTAATAACCTTCCAAGGAGGTTCCTCCAACGGGAAGCCTGCTTCCAAATTCTTCTTGTTCTTCCACCAGTTCAACCCTTTCCTCACGGGCAGGGGCAGAGAGATCCTTTGCTCCCAAACTGTTCCCACTCTGTTGAACTGGAGAAGGGAGCAATTCTGGACCGGATGAAACTTCCACTGGGCCCATTTTACAAACCCTATAGTTGATGTCAAAGAACCCAGGAGACTCATGACTTCTCTTGCGGAGGCAGTCTCGAGACCTTGTAGCTTCCCTACTTTGTCTCTGAGTTTTGTGACTCTTTCCGGAGACAGGAACACATGGGCAGATATGGTGTTTATCACTGCTCTGAGGAATACGATCGTTTGTGAAGGAATCAAGGATCTTTTTTCTATGTTCAGAAGCCAACCGTGGTCTTGAAGAATATTCATTGCCACCATGTGATGAGCTACTATCCTTTGAGATGGACCTATGATAAGGATGTCGTCCAAGTAATGGAAGATCTTGATACCTTTCTCACTTATGAAGGCTATCAAAGTGACAAGAACTTTGAGAACGTTCTTGGCACCAAGCTGAGGCCAAAGCGCCCAGAACCTGAGAAACTGCATATGATCTTGGTTTATAGGGATTTGGTAGTAGGCGTCCCTCAAGTCTATGGAGGTCATCCAGTCTCCTTTTTTTAAAAATTTTTTTTTTTTAATTCTTTATTTTTCATGTGCACGAGATAACTTACATGCTGGAAAATGCCATATTAGCTGTAACAATAGTGCAATAGTAACAATCAATATTGGTCAGAGATATGGTGGTTTGTCGGCTGCACATTTTTAATATTTAAACGTTGGTTCTGAAGGTATGCAGGGGAATCGTCTAGTGTGGCGACCTATTACATGTAGTGAGCAATGAGTAGTCTGAGTAATGTCTTGCAGGTTCTCCCTGCTGCTAGTGTATGCCATATCTAGTTGTCTCTAGAGTACACGGCAGTCCGCATATCTGATATGTGAGGTCTACCTGGGTACCGTACGTGGAGATCGTCCATTGGGGGGTGTCTAGAGGCTTGCGGTCTGCCAAGTGGGTTAGTGTCCCCTGTGACCCTGGGGTGGGAGGGGTGAGGGTGTGGGGACCAAGGGATAAACCTGCTCCTTGTGTCCTGGTCCCTGTCGGTGAGCTACGTGGGTGCGGAGGTTAATGTAGCAGTGAGACTGCTTAGTGGGCTTCTCGTTCGGGTTTGGGAGAGCAATAGTGTCCCGAGGTCGGTCCCCTTAAGGCCTATCATGGGGTGTCTAGGGCAGCAATTAAGGCAAATGTGAGAGCATATCAGAAAATCAAAACTGAAAAGAGAAATGCTACTAACAATAATAAAAACTATGGAAACAAAAAATACAGGAAAAACCGGCTGAGATCTTGCGGCGCCTCCTCATAAGATCATTGGTGTACAAGACCGTTCAGCCAGGGTGTCAGTCCTGTAGTTTCAGTCCTGCAATGAGGAAGAACGTCCCGGTGCGGGTGCTGGGTCCTCACGTGGTCACTGTTGCATACTCGGGTTTCCCCGTTCCCCGTGGGATGAAAGGGATTGTCTTCGTTGGATCCCATCTCGGAACCGTTGCTGATGCTTCCTGTGCAGTAATGGGCGGTAGCCCCTCCAGAGGTAGGCCCAGCAGGCGCAGCAAAGCAGGTGCTTCTTGGATGTCCAAAATGTAGTAGGCCTTGTTATCTTGTTGTATGTGTAGAGTGTGTGGGGTGCGCCAGCGGTAGGTAATCTGCTTCTCTCGGAGCAGCTTGGTGACGGGCAGCATGGACCTGCGCCACTGCAGAGTTTCCCCTGACAGGTCCGCGAAGAAAGACAGGACCATCGATTCAAAGCTGTAGGTGGCTGCTCCCTTCAGGGCTGCGAGTACTGCCATTTTGTCGGCCGTGCTTCTGTACTTCACCACCAGGTCTCGGGGGGCTGCCTCAGGGGCTCTCCGGGTTTCGGGACCCGGAAGGCCACTTCAAAGCCGATGTTCCTGGCTTGCTTAGGAGTCAATAGGGCTCCTGTGAGCCTCCGTAGGAGGTGTGGGATTTCCTCCGCAGGTATGTCCTCCGGGATCCCGCGGATCTTTAGATTATTGCGGTGCCTGTCGTCTTCTAATGCCGCGAAGCGTTGGTCAGTTTTGGCCTGCTTTTGCTTTAGTGCCTGCAATTCCTGCCTGAGCTCTATTATTTCTTTTGCTTGCCGCGTGGAGGCTACTTCGACCGCATCAATACGGCCCACCAGGCCCGTGAGGTCTGTGCGTAGCTGTGCGACATCAGCCTGGAGGGTTTTCTGCAAATCTCCTAGAAGAGTCTTCAGCAGCATCGCCGTCACCAGTTCTGCAGCCGCAATGCTTGGTGCTGGTTGTTGGGGTCTCCCTGGAGGTAAGGTAGTGACTTCCTCTGGGTAGAAATCCCCCGAGGAGTCAGAGAATTCCTCGAGGTCGGTGGCCATCTTGGGGCTGTATGCACCTTGCGCTTGGGTGAAGAGATCCCTTATGCTGGCCCCCTGTTTGGGTCGGTCCGGTTTTTGTTTCTTGGTTTTCCTTCCCATTGTCGTTATGGGTCAGTCTCCTTTTTTGACGCTCTTCAAGATGGTCTGTAAAGATTCCATGTTGAATGTTCTTACCTCGAGCATGGAGTTCACACCCTTCAAGTTCAAGATGAGACGCCACCTTCCCTGGGGTTTTGGGGACAAGAACACTGTGGAGTAAACCCCAAGGAACCTTTCCTGTCTTGGAATTTCTACCACTTTCTGTTCCAGAAGAGTAGAAATGCAGGCCCTCATGGCCCTTCGTTTGATACCTGCCGACACCCTGGATTTCTTGAAGAAAGCGGATTTTGGGCGAAAGGAAAATTCTATCCTGTAACCCTCCTTTATGATGGATGTGACCCACACGTCCGTAATATTTGCGGCCCACACGGGGTAGAAGAACTTCAGTCTTCCCCCCACAGTCCCAGAACGGGCCTGAAGACCTTCAGAAGTTCTTCCCAGAGGTTCTAGACTGAGGTGTAAGGGGAGGAGGGACTCTTTATACCCAGCAGTCTAATTAATTAATCTAATTAATTCCTGTCCTGTGACTGCTAATGGAGGAGCTACCCATAAGTGATGCTGCCATGATTAGCCAGGAAATGGGTGTTTTAGAACAGTAAAATGTATTATACTGATAATATCATCGTGAAATGGCAGTTTGTGTGAAAAATGCAAAACAACTAATATAAACGCTAATTTTGGCCAGGGTTTGTGACTGAGTGGCTACTAAAAAAGACTAGACATACCGCATTTTGAATACCGTGGATTGTTTACTTTTAATGATGGGGTTAATTTCCATTCCTGGGCTACCATATGGACTCAAAGGCAACATAGGCCCAAACCAATCTGGCAAATTTCAATGTGCAAACATGGAAAAGGGGAGAGCCCTACATTTGACCCCTGTAAGTTTGCAAAAACCCATAAAACCTGTACATTGGGGGCACTATTGTACTCAGGAGATGTTGCTGAGCACATACTGGTGGTTTTTGTTAGAATAAATGTTATAATTTAGCTGAAGATGACAGGTCTGCTTAAAATGTTTGAATACATTTTGGAACAACTAAAATTCACAGGTATTAGTGAACCTGTAATGGAAAAAATGACTTGCCTCAAATCGCTTCCATATACATTGAATTCACCATATATCATGATACATGGTATATTCAATATAAAACATAAATATTTACTTACTTTCCCTCTGTTCTAGTGCTGCTTCGTGGGTGTTACTTTTCATGTAACACCCACCTCCTGACCTCTCTGTCTGTAGTTCGCCTGTTTTTTTCTTCTTTTTTTCCCACCCATGCTTGAGATGGTAAATCTAGTTAGTGATGTATGCATGTGGCTTTGTTGCCAGCACAGGAATGATGTAACATCACTCGGTTCCTATACCTCCTAGCCAGCACTAGATGCACTGGCTAGGGAGTTTCCATAGCAACCGCAGCACATGTGTTATGGGAGGACAGCAGAGGGAATTCTTGTGGGAGATCTGTTCCGCTCTCCCTTGACAACTAGGCAAACAAAAACCCATTCTAGAAATACTATCATTCTAGAAATGCTTATCAAATGTAGGCACACAGCTCTGCCCCTAACAGCACTAATTTAACTGTTTTTCACAACCTGGCTGCAGACAGTCAGAGAAACTATAAACAGTTATTGAAATCCTTCCTATATGTCTCCCGGGGTGTCCTCTCTTAATGCTTTGCAGTTCAGATTATTCTGTACTCTCAGTGGCTAAGCTTTGTTCATACATTTGATAAGAAAGTATTTTTTTCTGGACTGAAGGGGAATGGGTGCATCATTCTGAACATTTTTGTTGTGCATGCAAACAAATACAGCATGTTAATGAGGCCAGAACCAGAATCAACATACATTAAAGTTCTATTGGTGCTTGGAGTGTCCCTCTACGGCCAAAATGGGAGACATTGGTCCAATCAGTGGCGTACTAAGGGGGGGGGGAGGGGGCGGTCCGCCCCGGATGCCACCAGGATGGGGGGTGCCATGGCCAGGGGCGCCCCCCCCCCCCCATGCTGCAGCTGCCCGAGCGCTCTGTAAAGAGCCTCAGGCGGCTGCAGCTTTGCCCGGGCGGTGCGTCCATGAGGGCGGACCGCACCGCCCGGGCGCAGCCTGAGAGGCTGACAGGAGGGAGCGCTCCTGTCAGCTCCCTCACTGCAGCATGGTCCGCGGGTACAGAGAGCAGCTGTCTCCTGTACCCGGCCGGACTAACAGGAAGTGCACACTGAGTGTGCACTTCCTGTTAGTCCGGCCGG